GTTGAGGGATACAAAAAATGGGAACTAAAATATTAGAGAACAATAATATGGAAGAAGGATGGAGCATGTCTTACATGAAAGCATTATTACTATCTTTTTCGGTTGGAGTCTCACTCTGTCACCTAGACTGGAATGCAGGGGCACACTTACAGCCACCACAGCCTTGACCTGCTGGGCTTAATGATCCTTCTGCCTCAATCTTCCAAGTAACTGGGACTGCAGGCATGGGCCACCATGCCCAGCTAATTTTTTGATTTATTGTAGAGATGAGGTCTTACCAAGTTGCTGGTCTTGAACCTCTGGGCTCAGGCAATCCTCTCACCTTAGCCTCCCAAAGTGCTGGGATTACAGGATTGAGCCACTGTGCCTAGTCTACATGAAAGCATTCTATGGTCCTTGTGATTTCAAGAGAAAGGGAGATACCAATTACATTTAGACTTAGTGATTCATACACACATGTTTAAAATGTTCATTAAAACCACTAAAAGAAGTAGAATGACTCGTAGCAGAGGGAGAAAATTTGAATAAAGAAATTTTGATTAATCTAATAGAAGGCAGAGAAAGGGGGAAGAAACAAAGAAAAGACCACAAAGTAAAATTATTTTTCAAACCCAAATATATCTATATTCACTATAAACATAAATTAAGCTCTCTAGTTGAAAAACAAATTGTCAGAAGAAAGAACAAAAATCCAGTTCTATGCTTTTACATTTTACAAGGAGTATTAATTATTTGGATCATAAACAAAACGGTTTTCTTTCCTTCCATGACTGCCCTGTAATTGTGCTGCATCAGCCCTTCTTTTCTCACCAGCTATCTGGTACCATATGACATCTTGTCGAAATTCTTATGCTATATTTTGTCTCTTTCTGTTATCAGAAAAATCTCATTCCAGTCTTATTCTGAATCATATTTGAACTTCAGTGTGAAACTCAATCCAGAGCTCCTTGTCCTCTTGACTCCAGTTTAGGCTGAATCTGCCCGGGGTTATTAGCAGCTTGGGGCAAAGAGAGAAAGCGGTCTGTTCTTCAAACCCTTCCTCCTCTCTTTCTTCTTCTGTCTTCTCACGCTTCCTTCACCCAGACTCTAGCCTGGCCCTTCACAAACCCTCACTTTTGGCTTTGAAAGTTCAAAAAGGAGATGGAGAAGAAAATGCTCACATCATTTGACAGAGAACCTTCATTCAGCTTGGTTCCACCTGTGACTGCTGGCATATGCCTTCTGGTGGTCTTCAGGTAAGTGGGGCAGTGCTTAGCTTCACTATGACTCCCTCGGACACTGAGAATCGTTCCCAGAGAGGGAGCTGTTGCCCTTAACTCTTTCTCAGAAACAGGGGCAGGCATCCCATCCTGTGCCTGAGTCCTCACCCCTCCCTAACCTCTATGCTCCTTTACAGGGAGTCAAGAAAGCTGCTCAGGTCTCAGATTGTACCATCAGGGTTTGAGAGGAACTTGTATGGGGAGGCGGTAGCCCCACCTTTTCCCTATGCTCTACACTGATGGGCTACTCCTTCAGAAATCTACACTAAAAACTGTTTCCATGCTCCGGTATGTCCACACACTTCAGGGAATACATGTCAAAGGCCTCTTCTTCCCTTCTTCCCCATAGTGGAAGAGGGAGACAGAAAGGGATCATGAGCCATTGTCCTGGACTCCACAAAAAACCAAGACTCTCTCACATGGAGGAAAGGGAAAGAATCGCCAAGAATCTCCCTCTCGAAGTCTTCTTTTTCTGTAGGGGAAGAGGGGAGGAAAGGAGAGGACTGTCAGTGGCTGGCCAGTCCTGAGGTGGTGCCTCCTGGTAAGCTCTGGTAAGTTAAGTGGCTGTCTCAACTCCTTCTGCCCACACGAAATTAAAATGTAGAGAACCTTACATCTTTTGTCCTCAACTCTGAGCCTTAGCCTCAATTCCCAGTCAAGGGCAAAATGATGTCTGCCATTTTGTCATGTGCTATTTAAAAGATGAAGAGAGAGACTCCTAAAACTTAAGAACACAAAATAGTTCAAAGTAAATAGTAAATAATTGGAAAGAAAAAGACATACCAGAAAACACTAACCAAAAGAAAGCTGAAGCATTAATGCAAAAAGCATTACTAGGATAAAAAGGGTCACAATATTATGAAAAAATTAATGTCCAATGTACCTGACACATGGCCTCAAAATACATAAAGCAACAAATGACAGAATTATGAGGCAAATATTTAAAAATCAAAGTGGGATATTTCTACATACCTCTCTGATAGAACAAAAATTAGTAAGGCTATAGAAACCTTGAAAAGCCTACTTAACTAGTTTTATCCAAACAATGAGAGATTTTGTTCTTTTTAAATATACATGGAATATTTACAAAAACAGACTGCAAAGTAAATCACAATAAATTCCAAGTAACAAATTTTAATCAGACCACTCTTTAAAATCACAATGCAGTAAAGTTACAAGTAAATCATAAAATGGCACACAAAAGTTTTTAAAAGACAATAACCATTTACTGAAGAAAGTACAAAACACTTTTTGCTCAGAATTTAAATACTGTTTTTGAAATAATTCCTATTGTGATACGAGTAAGTTCATAACAAAAATTTTCAGCTAGGTCTGGGCACAGTGTCTCATACCCATAATCCTAATGCTTTGGAAGGCCAAGATGACAGGATCACTTAAGACCAGGAGTTCAAGGCCAGGAGTTTGAGCAGTGAGCTATGATCCTGCACTCCAGCCTGGATGATAGAATGGGTCCCCATCTCTAAGTTTAAAAAAAAAAAATACAGCTGATTACAGAATATTTCATATTAATATGCAGATAAACAGTAATCTGGAAGGGGAAAATATATGGAGAATGCACAATTATAGAAATAAATTTGTATTAAACATGCCATTGTACGAAATGAAATATGTACTACTGAGAAATAGAAAAGATTTGAAGTACTGAAATATGCAACAGCATGACAATCTCGAAAACAGTGTGCTGACTGAAAGAAGCTAGAAACAGAAGAGTGTATATGTATAATTCCAGTTATATGAAAAAGGCAAAAATAAGGTAACTTACTGGCAGAACACAGATTAGGAAGGAACTAACAGATTAGGAGAAACTTCCTTCAGTGATGAGATGTTTTCTATATTAGTAGGGAGATGTGGATTACATAGGTGTTTGCATTAGTCAAAGGTAAACAAACTGTAAACTTGGTATCTGTGCACTATACTGTATATAAATATTATATTAGTAAAAATTATTTTAATGTTTGTGTAACACCATGAAAAATGTTAAGAGGTAGGCTGGAAAAAGATATTTGCCATCTGTACAACTAACAAGTTATCATATATCAGCATACAATGTATGCTAACAATCGTATAAAGGATCATGGGGATAACCTGTTGTACAGTTATTGCACTATATGTGAAGCGGAATAATTTATGTGAAGTAGGTTGTTCAAAATTAAAGATGTACATTGTAAAACTTAGGGCAACTATTTAAGATGAGGTGTACCGACTGGGCACAGTGGCTCACGCCTATAATCTCAGCACTTTGGGAGGACGAGGTGAAAGGATTGCCTGAGCCCACCGGTTCAAGAGCAGCCTGGACAATTTGGTGAGACCTCGTCTCTACAATAAATTTTTAAAAAGTAACTGGGCATGGTGGCGCATGCCTGTAGTTCCAGCTACTTGGAAGGCTGAGGTGGAAGGATCACCAGAGCCCAGCAGGTCAAGGCTGTGGTGGCCATGAGTGTGCCCCAGCCTGGGGGACAGAGTGAGAGGCCAACTCAAAAAAAAAAAAAAAAAATGAGGTGTACCTAGTAAGAGAATGGTGAAAATAGAAATTATCTTAAAATAGAATACTAATATAAAGATAAAATTACTTTTTAAAAAACCCAAAGCAGGCAAAACAAACAAAAAAACACTGAACACCTGGAACACAAAAAATAACTAGGAAGATACTTACACCTGAGGGCTGAGATTAAAAAAAGAAAATAGTAAGATAGTAGATTTAAATGCAATCACATTAGTAATTACATTAAATATTTGGTATTAGGATTAATATCCAGAATATATATTTTTAGAGAACACCTATAACCCAATAAGAAAAAGACCCTGTAACAGAAACATTGAGAAAGGATATAAAGAGGAAATTCACAGAGGAAGAAACCAAGTGTTTAGTAAATATGAAAAGATGCTCAATTTCCTTAATCGGGGAACTATAAATACAAATTAAAACAATAATCTACCTTTTCGTACCCATCATGTCAGCAAATGTTCTGAATCCATTAACAACAATATTTAGCAAGGAGGGGGAATCAGGAAATCATGTGTTGTCGGTGGGAGTGTAAGTGGGCACCTTCTCTTTGATGAGCAATTTGGGAAGCCTGAGAAAGATGAAGGTGCTCCTGTCACCCAGTATCCCATGGCTAGGTGTCTCTAGACACACTCCACCCATGCACAGTGAGATGTGTATACAGACGTTGCTGGCAGGTCATGGTAACGGAAGGTAAACTGGAGTTTATGTATTCCATGGAATACTATATAGTGGTTAAAATGAGTGAACCAGACATGCTTGTTCAAACATGACTCTATCTCAAAAACATAACGATCCATGATAAAAAGCAAGGTGCAACAGAATATGAACTGAATAATGTCATTCATATACAATTTTAGAATACCAAAACCTGTAGTATGCATTGTTGACGAATGCACACGTAGTAGGAAATGCATCAAGACATAGGTGAACGCGCTAACCTCTGGGAAGGGAGGGGACAGGATGTGGTGGCACTGGCCTAATCTCTATCCATAATTTTCCTTTTTCAAAGAGAGACCTGAGCTGCCAGCATATTGCGTCCTGCTGTGTTGCCTTCCAAGGCCAGCTCCACGCCTGACCCCGTGGGCTTCCATTAGGTGAACAAATGTATTCCGCCCCTCTCCCCACCTTCAGTTAGTTCCAGTTGGGTTTCCTGGCTAATAACCAGGACGCCTCCCTACACGTTCTTCTTTTTTCTCTTATTTCATTCGCGCAGGGTTTCAATAAACATGTGTTAAGCGGATCTGTCCAGGAAAGGGAGTCATCGACCCTAGGCGCCACCATTCCTTTTGGGACAGCTGCTGCGAAAGAGCATTCATACTGTGACTCAGGGTAAACAAGTCGCCCTCCACTCGGCCTCAGTTGTCTCCTGAATGACCCGTCTGGCCCCCTCCAGCCCCAGCACTCTATGATTCTAGGAATTCTGTCCTTTCATGTCGAAAACAACACTGGTATTTCACAAAAGCACCCAGCCCCCTGGCTACCCTTGGAAGCACAGCCCGCTTCCCTGGAACCCGGGCTGCACTGAGCTGGTCACATGAACTCCGGGCTTTCTGTGGTGTGACGGGTTTCTTAGATCCCTTTGTGAGCGCAGGTTTTGAAAGGGAACGACCCCGGGTTCTGGGTGTGAGAGGCGCAGGGGATCCGGCGGGAGGAACGCTGTCGGAGCCAATCAACCCGCCTCCAGACCCCAGCACGTCGCCTGGGCTGCGCGCTCCGGTTTCTCCCCCGCCCGCCCGCCTCCCGGCCTCGCCCGAGGGTGCCCGGGCAGGCGAGGACCCCAGGTGAGAGGCCGGGGGGCCCTGGCGGGTGGGAGGCCCCGGCGGTTCGGCCCGGGCGCCACGACGGGCTGGCCCGGGCTCAGGGCGTGTCCGTCGCCGCCTGGCTGCTCGCTCGACACTGTTCGCTCCTACCGGCTGTAGATGGAGCTGTCTGGGTTCCGGCAGCCTCCGACGAGCCTCGGAGTGTTTCTCTTTAAACGGCCTGAGAGGGACATGCCTCCCAGGATGCAGTTTGTATCAACATGGCAGCTGCGGTGCAGCTCCCCTGCTGAAGAGGCGCCGGGACGGCAGCGCAGCTCGCAGCCGGGGCCGGGGCCGGAGCCGGGGTCGCAGCCGCGGCCGCAGAGG